CGTTTCCAATTTTCTGGCTTTGTGGAGCTTGAGCCAACATGAGATCACTATAGCTCTGACCTTAAACTGGCAAGGGGTTTTTTAAATTATTTTAATCCATGCGTTTTTTGTAAAAAAAAAAAAAAAAAAAAAGGTGCTGGAACTCACATTGCCGCCGGCAGTAAGCACTCAGCGCGTGACCACACACACCAATCCCAAGCCGACCAGCGTCCCAAGCCGGGCAGCGCAAACACAAAAGCAGCCCGCAGGCACTATGTTAATGATATTTGCTGCTGACCTGCTACGCCGACAAGTGATTCAAAATCACTTCGTAAAATCCATTGGAAAAAAAGGTGCCGGAACGCCATTCCAGTGCCTTCTGTAACACAAAAAGCCCTGATTTTAATCATTATATTCGGATACTGCCACCAGAGGGCCACTCAGTAATTCAAGATTCTTTACTATTCTAGCTTTTCTAGTGATGAACTGTGACTAAGTGACTCTTTGTGAGCCAGCTGGTAAGAAGATTTAAAGGATCTAAAGCACACATACCTCATCCTTTCGCCTCAATCGAGAGGGCTATAAATACCAACAAATACTGGGGAACTGAGAACCACCCACTGAGTCCTGATCCCCAGTCCGAAGTGCTGTGATACTTCACCCCATGCCCCCTTGCCTTCCGTGGTGTCAGGTGCTCAACCCCAGACTGCTCCTCAGCACCAGCATATTATGTGATAAAAACTTCCCTGGTCAGGGCCAGGGACTCATCCTGCTCCGCCCCCAGGACAAGTCCCTCCCTTGTTGGAGCAGGTGCAATGTGGGGAGCAACTTTGGCATTGGGGGCTGAGTGACCCCTCCCCCCCCAAAAAAAAGCCTTCACAGGCTGGATGATACCAGGGATGTGGCTGCAGCCTCCACCCCCCAGGGGCCCTGCCCTCAGCCAGCCCCTGAGCAAAGCTCCTGCTGGCCGTGCAGGCAGGCAGCAGCTGAGCTACAGGTGGGCCTTCCTTGCTGGGAAACGTCTCTGAATCGGAACTGGGGCTCAGGGTGCAAGTGGTCTCCTCTTTCAAAGGGAAAAGAACACATCCTGGTACGTAGTGCCCTGTGGCATTTGCTTTTATGGGAGACACTGATGGTGGCTGGCTCGTAACAGCCTTCTCAGTTATGGACGGCCTTTTGGTTGTGGCACCCTGGTTGTGGCATAGGTGTGCCTGGCACCTACTTTGCATGCATTCTAGTTCCAGGTGAAGACTTTTTTATTCTCTCAGCATTTCAACAGCTCAACATTTTCATTTCATTTTATTCTATACCTCTTCTATCCTTCTAATGCTGATTCAGTGCAATTGCTATTGTGGTTTTGTTGTTTTCAGTTATTTTTTTCCTTGTGTGTGTGTGTGTGTCTCTCTCTCTCTTTTACATTTTTCTTAACTTTCATTAAGAGCCTCTGCTATTGGGTAGCATAAAAATGAACAAACAAACAATGACAGGCTATAAAGAGATCAGCTGCAGACAGTGGGGCAAACCAGCCTGCCTGGGACACAGGAATCTTGGACGTTGCCTTCTGCAGGGCAAAACAGTGGCCATCAAGCTCAGTGCTTTATCACAGGCTGGCCACAGCTCACCAGGGCTTCAGGCAAAGGCTTACCTGCTGATTACAGGCTGTACTAAGGAACCCGCCTGGCTTGGTCTTGTTTTCATGCTTTGCGAGCCAATGGGACACAAAAGAAGATTCCTTCTTAGACCCAGATATTTCTAGGAATGTGGGAGATGAGCAGCTCCCCAAGAGTGGGAGACTGTCAGTAGCCAAGAAATCACCTGCATCTCCAGGGGATTTCTCTAGTACCTGCTTATCATATGGTAAATCACTCTGGAATGTATGTAAAAATACAGATTTAGGAGGTCTGTCACAGTCATAATTTTGGTTTGTCACTTCAACTTCGGTTGAATGCCCTCTTATGTAAAAGCAAGCCCCTCTGAAATCAATGGAACCGCTGAGTAGATATGTATAGGATTGCATGGTTAATTTACCTCTTGGGCCATTCAGCTGGAATGCAGGTTTTGTTTCCTGCATGGACAATTAACTCTTTCAAAATAAATATTTCTCTTGTCTTCTTTCTACTAAAACATGATTATTAAACCATCTCCCTGCCTATCTTATCTGAAAGTCTTTGTAGTTCTTTAAAACAAAAACCAATCTGTATGCTATATGTTATTTCCATTAATTGATTTGTGGTGCCTGCTATTTTAATATGCTTTTAACATGATCGTTTATTCCTGCCATTAGAGATAATAATCCTGCCAAAAGTCATTAGAAATCATTGCAAACCTAACCAAATGGGCTTGTTTCTGCCTCAGTAAGCAGTCGTTGGTTTCACCTATGAAAACTTCTACTAGCATGATGGCCAAACTTGAATGCTACTAAGTACAGGGAAAACTGGTGATTGCTTTTAACAGCAGATGAAAGCTCAACAACCAGGTTTTCACCTCACAAAGAGATCTCTGGTGCCACTCATTCTCCTGAGCTTGAGAATCGCCTTCCTCCCTCCTTTCTTTCCATCCTTGATTCGAATTTCAATTTTGCCTTTCCATCCAGAGACACCCAAGGCAGCTAGCAAAATACAATAACATCCAGTATGTGAAGCAGCTGGTTTTGAAAATACATATTGGGCATGCACATGGTGGGCATGTCATGAGCGGAGATGGCTGGAGCCAGAGGTCAGACTGGATGGCCCCCGAGACCCCTTCTGACTCATTCTATGTATCTATATATGTAATCCTTAAAGCAAATGTCCTGCACCTTCAGTGCCCTTTCTGCTTGGTGCTTCCATTTTACCCTCCAGTGTTACTGTGTCACTGCTAAGCTGTGAGCAGCTGGAACCAGGGCAATGGGATGAAGCCAGGATTCAGGGCCAGAACAAAAGCTGGCGGCAGGATCCAGCTGCAAGAAATGTGTGGTTGAGTTTTGAGTCACCTCTCTGCTGATAGTGCTCAACGCTACTTTAATCTCCTGAAGTTCCAGTCCATGTGCCAGAAAGTGCTTCTGTGCCATCTTTTCAATTGCCATAATGCAGCTATCAAGGAGAGCCCTGGTTTGAATTTCAAGTATTACTGGTGGTGGGGTTGTGCCCCAGCCCTGTGCTTCTTCACACCCTCTGTGAGCACTGTGACGTTTAGCAGTCTTGCAGACTGCCTCTTTAAGAGGCAAGCCATGAAGGCCTCTTTTTTAGTAGCTGGATCCAGACTTAGCCATGTTTAGAGTAGGCTCCTTGAAATGAACAGGCTATAAATGAGTCATGCATGGCTCACTTTATTTTATTCATTATCATTTATTTAATTAATATGCTGCTTTTCTGTCATAAGAATGGCTAAAAAATATAGATTAAAATCTTAATTTAAACATAGGATATAAACAAAGAACTTCAAAGCACAAATAAAAGTGCAACGATATAAACAGTGCCAGTCATTTCTGCAAGTTCCCCTTAATTCATTTTTCATTTCTTTCAGTGTGACTAAATTTAACCAAGTCTGGATAACCAAGCCATCGTGTCCCCCCCCCCCCCCCGCCCTGCCACACACACGCACCAAGAATCCACCATGTACCGTTGGCACATAAAAGAATATCTAACATTAACATAAGATAATATACCAATAATAATACACCAATTTGCCTTGGGAAAACAATGTTTATTGACAGAAAGGAACAGATAAAACATTACTTTTTCAAGGCAAATTGATGTATTATCCAAGGTCACAGTGGAGCTTTAATCTGCTTCCTAACCTTAGATTGAAAGGACAACCTAGAGATGGGAATAGCAAAGAGAAGAGGCTCCTACCAAAACTATACAGGTTATGTACAAGAAGGCATAATGGAACATGAAAGCTGGACTGTGATGTGGCTGAGGTTGAGAGACTGTGGGGTACACGCCCCACAATCCTCAGTCATGGGCCATTATGTTTAGGACTTATGGAAGTTGTAGTTCAAACCACCTGGAGGACACCAGATTGCTTACCCATAAACAGAGGCAAAATACCCACCTCCGGTGCACTTTAACATGTTGTGCAGAGTGGGTCTCCGTCTTTCCAGGGCTGGCATCAAGGTAGACATGGTTGGGCACCCACCAAGGGCCCACCACCAAGCAGGGCCTTCTGACCAGAGCCCCCCTCCTCTTCCCCACTGTAGCATGTGGGCTCCCGGCCTCTTGCTCTCTTCTGTCAATGGCGGTGGTGACCGGTGAGAAGGAGGTGCGGTAGAGGCTGCTGCCACCGTGCTCACTGGCTCTCTGCCTGCCAAGCGAGCTAATGGTAGCAACGGTGAGAAAGAGGATGTGGAGGAGTGGCAGCAGCTGGTGACAGTGGCAGTGAGAAGAGCCAAGCTGAAGGAGGTGCCCACTGCGTGTTCCTTGCCCAAAGGCTCTTAAGAACCTGGAGCCAGTGCCAGATACTGCAGGCTACAGCTACCAGCGGGGAAGCATCCAACACTCTCCTTTTTTGGCTCTGAGAAACCTTCTGTAAGAAGAAAGATTACAGAGAATTCTTGTAGTGTTGTCTAGCAGTTACAGCAAAATGTTGAGCATCAATGCTTCTCGTACTGGCTTGTCACTGGCTATGCCACCACCATGTACACCTTTCAGTAAGTCAATCAGTAACTTCTGACTAGAATGCACCCATCCAGAAACTGAAAAATAACAGCTTTGGGAGTTACTTTAGGCAGAGTTCTCACCCAGCCTAAAGCTATGCAATTGTCTTCAGATGACAAACTATTACATCAAGAGTTGCACTAGATAACTAGCTGTGTTTTGCTCCCAGCTGAAGGAAAGATAAGGTTGTGATGTGGGGTTGAAAGCTGTTTGCATTAGCCTCATGCTGTCCAGACCTGATGCTCATAAAGCTGTTTAAACAGAATCTTAGCAGCATGAGCTGAAAATCTGACCGTGTAATTCTTCCGTGCCTCTTGGAACAGGAGCATTAACTCAGGGAGCTCTCCACTCCACTAGGTCAGCTCTGCCTTCCCACCAAGAGCCATGCCCCACCTAACAGTGTGCAACCGGCGGCTCAGCTGGACTCTGACCTTAGTGCTGGGGTACCTCTTTTATCTCCTCCTGGGGGCCATGGTGTTTCAGCTGCTAGAAAAGCAGGCAGAAGCCAAGACTCGGGACCAGTTCCAATTGGAGAAGCTCAAGTTTCTGCAAAACTACACCTGCTTGGATCAACAAGCCCTGGAGCAGTTTGTGCAGGTAAAAAGAGCAATCCGGATCTCATTTCTTGCTGAAGGAGCCCCTCTTGTCCATGCTGGTGTTATGTAACTTAATCTGTGGGATGGCCACCTGGTGTCTTGGCTTTGGACAGGGGGTTGGACTTGGTCTTCCACTCCTTCCAGTCCACAGATGCGATCATTCTAGAGACTTTGTGGACTTGAGGGCAGAAAACAGTAAACTAGAGCTAGCAGGGAACGCCAAGAAGATTTTAAAAGGCAATACGCTAACAGGACCCTGGTGCTGCAGAAATCATTCTGACAGTAGCCATTTTGACTCACTCCTGACTGGCAATGCTTATTTAGTCTGCTCTCTGTGTGTCTAACTCTTACTTAAAAGTTCCCACTGTGAGCAATGTCATCCTTGAAATAATGCTGTCATCCCAGCTCCCCATTTTACTCAGAAAAATGTTTACTATTTTAAAAAATGTGTTTAATTACAATAAAGGTCCATCATGTATTGTTGAACAGTAGCTTCTGCAGGGTGAATAATGTAACTTCCCAGAATTCAATTTTCAATATTTTCTAGATGGAAAAAGTTCCTCTTTCTTCCTACCCTTCCCTAACACCACAGAAGTGCATTCATTACTTGCAAGACGGTGAAGCAGAATATAGTTGTGTCTATGTTATGGTCACATGCAGCCTCACTTAGTGAACTCTTACAATGTTTTATGTTATTAATCTGTATTGTCACTTCTATATAGTAAGCATTAAATTCTAATTATTTGCTCTTGTACAACTTCCCATACAATGCAGGAGTGTCCAGGCAGCTTTTTTTTTCTTTCTAAGTAGGAATAACTGTGAAGCTGTCTCTGCCCACTGAACAGGGCTTTGCTGTCTTGTGAATTTGCCGTGTTATCACGTTGGCTGCATATTCTTTTCTGGCACTAGAACGTGCTAGCAGATATATACGGTTAACAGAAGCATGGCAACTTTGCGTGAAGGCAGTTTCCCCTTAGTTCTGTGTTGACAAGATACTGTGCTGCTTTTATTGAAAAGGAGGTTGCAGAAACATTACACACAGACACAAATGTAACCAGGGTACAAATCAGACACTCCCCCATTTGTCCGAAGACAACTGCAGCTCATGCCACAGTAAACGCACTCACAAGACACTGTTTTTTGTTGTAATGTTTAAGAGATGTGTGCATAATTTTCTAATGTTAGCTGTGGCTTGTTACCTGATAGGAATAATCACGGTTAGACATCTTTAATCAATGAAAGCGTAGCCATGCCTGAGACGTGGCACATGCCCTGAAGGCATCGAGGGAAGAGCATTGCAGCCGCAGCCACTGACTTGTGGGCAAACCTTGTGAATGAACTCTGTGTACGTCTGGACGGTACACATGTATGATCCATGTGCATGGCTATAATCTATTAACACATGTGTTATAAATCATGTAGTCTTCAGGCATGTGTACAATCTTGCACACAATCGGAGGTAAGTGTGCAAAAAAGAACTTGTAACCTTGGCAGTAGTGTTTGGCCACAGATTTTATTCTAGACAGGCATGCAGCCTATTCTCAGGGATCAATTGGTCACTCAGGATTTTTTTCCCAAAAATACACAATTATTACACTGCAAATTAACTTGTTGGTAATAGGCACTGTGTAAGGAATTCAACAGTTCCCATACAGAATTCAGTATACGACTAACTACGTACACTAAACTTACAAGACAGAAGATCAAATATACACCATCTAGCTCCACACATGCAAGATTCAAATTTCTTTCCGTGTCTACCTGAGGGCTGCTGCCTGTATTGTGCTTCTGGAGTGCTGCCAGGTTTGGCGCTAAGCAGCCTGGGGTTCTAAGGCTTCTGGGTGACGACAAGAGAAGATGGGCTGGGTGACAGTGAGGGCCATGAAGAGCACTCGAGGGTACTTTGAACACAAACGGTTCTGCACTTCCATCCAACAATTGGCTTTCCAGGTCATGCTGAAACTGAATAAATGCTCAGGACTATGCAGAAAAGACTGTGATGCTGGGAACGACTGATGGCAAAAGGAGAAGGGGACAGCAGAGGATCAGGTGGCTGGAGAGAGTCAGTGGGGCAGTGGGTGTGGGCTTGGGTGGACTCCGAGGGGTGGTGGAGGGCAGCAGAGCCTGGAGGAATGTTGTCCGTGGGGTCGTGATGGGTCGGGCATGACTTTGCGGCCAAACAACAACATGCAGAATATTTGCTGCAATGTAAAACCAGTGTGGAAAAGAATTACACATGAAATAGTATCAATCTGTGCTGTGACACAAGGACTAATAGGCAATGAAATCCTGCATGCTGTTTTGACATCACCATTTTGCTGTGAATTTTTAACATCCTGGTGCCTGCAGAGACGCCATGGCCTGTTAGGAACTGGGTCACACAGCAGAAGATGAGCCGCAGGTGAGATCCAGAGTTCGAACATTAGTGTCAAGATAAAATCTCTTTGAAGTTCGGACTATACTTCTAAGTTCGAACTGCAGGCACAGTAAAAAATATGTGGTTGCTGCGTAAATGTCATCAGCTGTGCATCCAAATCGCCTCTCGTTGTGTCTATGCTTTTTCACTACATGTCTTTCCTATCCTTTTGAGTTCCTTTTCTATTGTTCTCAGTGCCTTTTAACTTCCTGGCTTCTTGGTTCTTCTCACTTCCTCCTCAATCCTTTTCAGTGCCTTTTAACTGCTTTCTTGAGCCTTTTCTGCCTCACTACTCCTCACTAAAAAATTTAGACAGCAAATGCAATTTTCATTGTATTATACAGTACCGTACATATTTGCATATTTTATTAACTGTTTTCAAGTATTAATTAACAAATTTGGCATTTAATTGTGTTATTTTTACCTTAAATTATGCATATTTATTGTTTAAGTTTATTGAGATGGGTAGTGTTCAGGGTCTGGGAACAGATTAATTAACTTTCCATTATTTCTAATGGGGAACATTGCTTCAGACTACAAATGATACAGAGTGCAAACGCCCTCCTAAAACGAATTAAATTTGAAGTATGTGGCACCACTGCAATGCACTTGAATAATCCTGAAACTATTCAACCCCGCCACCCCACCAGTCTGTGGAAAAATTGTCTTCTGTGAAACTGGTCCCTGGTGCCAAAAAGGTTGGGGACTGCTGGCAGAGACAAGTGCTTTGTCCTTGAAATGCATTTACAGTGGTACCTTGGCTCACGAACTTAATCCATTCCAGGACTCTGGTTGTGACCCAAAATGGTTGTGACCCAAGTCAAATTTCCCCATAAGGTTCAGTGTAAATAAGGTTAATCCGTTCTGTAACTATCCTTTTAATCAGAAAAATGTGAAGCAAAGTGACAAAGAACAGAGATTGTGGCCAACTCCCCCCCCCAGCACAACTGCAATCGCACCCATCATCCCGGCGCGCTGGGGGCGGAGGGAGAGAGATGGGTGCAAATGCAGGGACGCTGGGGGGGAGAAACAGGTACGAATGTGGGCGCACTGGGGGGGGGAGATGGCCGCGATCGTGCTGGGGTGGGGGAGATGGCCGAGATCGCGGTTGCGCTCGTGCAGGAAAGACGGGCACGATCTCGGCCATCTCCCCCCCACAGTACAATCACGGCCATCTCCCCACTCGGGGGTGGAGTGGGGAGACGGCTGCGATCGTGGGCACCATCCAATGCAGAGTCCATGACCTGAGTCCAATTTTTTATGGAATTTTAGTTCACGACCCGATTTGGTCATGAACTGAGGCGTTTGTGAGCTGAGGTACCACTGTATTTAAAATTCTTATGACCCTTTTCGCTGCAAGGAATGCTGGGAGGCTTACATCATCTTCCTCCTGATCTCCAATGAACTTCATGGCCAACTGGGAACTGGGACTCCGAGCTCCCGCGTGCCTGCCCAGCGTTCTAACCTCTGGGCCACCCTGGCTCTCCTTTAAAGGACTTTGGTTCATTTACTTGGCTTCTCATTTGAAACCAGCAGTTTCAAACACATTAATCACATTCTATATTGTTCTAGTTCATTATCCCCCAACAATGTATTTTTAAGGGAGACTCCAGTGCACTCTTGTCCACAGGCAAATGATATATACAGTTCAGCCTCTGAAAAACTGGAGCATGTTTCCCTCTGCTTCTTAAAGAAAAAAAGCATAAAGCCAGGACACAAATAACGGTGCTGTTATTGTAAGGAAATTCACCTCTGTGGCATAACCATCCCTCATGGCTTTGCATTTTTTCAAGTACTGGCTGACTGAAGAAAAACACTAGAGGGCGCCAACATCTCAGCTATGACAGAGCCTTTCGCACTTGCCCACTGAAAACATCTAGAACCCTGATATATAATGTCAGGTGATGGGAATCCTTATCACCATCCTTGACTTTGTGCTCTTGCACTTTGACCAATGCACTTGGTGGATGCAGTCTTGGCTTTTGCAAAGCCCTCAGCTCAGCATCTTTGGAAATGCAGAGTGAGACCACTGGAGCATCTAGCTGGTCTGGGGGCAGGGGGTGTCACCCTCCTTGCACCTCTCCCATTTCAGTGGTGTGCAATTCAGTGGTTCCAAGAGCAAAAGCCTTTTCTTGGGCCACAGTCAATGCCAACCTTGGCTTGGTCTGATCACAACATGGGCTGCTTAATCACAGACTCCATAGATATAACAAAATTCCAGGAAGCCATATCAGTCCACTAGACAAAATGCAATGGCAACAATAGCATAATGCCTTAATTACTACCAATTAATAATTCACAAAGAAATAAGTTTCTCAGTTCATCAAAGCTCTTCATCAGGCTAGATATTGACATGAGGTTATCTAAGAACTCTGCAAGAATATGAAGTTCACATGCAGTTCTGCAATGTAAGACAGAATGTCCTTATAAATAATTTCTGTTTGCAAAGCTGAATCTCTGCACAGCAGCAGCGGCAGTGGTGACAAATGTGCTATCAAATACCTTAGTCCTGAGTGACGCATACAGCAGTCCTATCAAGGCCAGCATCTGGAGGCTCTGGCAGGATTGTCTGTTTCTGTTGAGAT